GTCGGTGATCATGCGGATCAGCTCCCCGTCCGTCTTGCCCACCTTGATCTGCTGCTGCAGCATCCCGGCACCGGCGCGGCAGGCCGTGCACGTGACCTTTGACATCACACTGTTCTCTATCTCGAATGCCACCTGCTTGAGGTTAAGCAGCTTCAGGGCCTTGTCCACCAAGGGCGGGTACACCAGGCCGTCCCCACCAGCCACATCGTACCACAGCATACGTCCGCTGGCTGACTGGTTCTGGCGGAGATTGGCCAGTCGCTGCAGGAACTCAGCGTCCGAGGCGTCCGAGCCTATGGCCCGGTGTGTACGATTGGGATGCAGGACGGGCTCTAGGTGGGGCTCAATGCTCCTGGGTTGGGCCTCAATCACCCAGCTCTCCGTTTCCGGCTGCGTCCAGTTTATTTCCGGTCTGCGCCAGGTGAAGAGGAAGGGCATAGCTCCAGCTGGAAGGGGAATACTCCTCATTAGTTAACTCATTCCCAGTTATCTTGGATTCTTGAACTCACCATCTGCCACCAATTCGAAAGCCAAGAGGAGAGCAATGAGCCAGCAGTTTCCCCTGGGAATCGTCCATCGCTGCTGTGTCATAATGCTCCGGCTCCCAGACTCCTCAGAGCTTCAGATCTCTTTCTTTCAAGATGCCACAGGTATCCACGGGCTGCTTGACCTACATTGTTGGGTTTAACCGAAAACGAAGCAAAAACAAAAAATATATAAATACAATTCGGAGAGTCATTATTTTGGGGAACGGGTTTCATTACGACGACTTGGGAGGGATCTGGCCAGGGGCTTGTCAACGTTTTGGTTTATTTTGGCTTTTATGCAGTTTCGTTTTGGCCGGAATGTTTATGATTTATGCAACTTACAGGATGAGGCACAAAAAAGCTGTCTGCTGCCGTAACTTGCTCTGAAGACCCGAGTTACCTGACCACTTGTGGAAAGTGTTCCCCCGGGCCCTTTGGCTTTTGTCGCATTATGATGCTCAGCCAGCCATCCATCCCACCTGACCTCTGCCATTGAAGGACCTCAAATCTAAATTTCAATTTCAATCCGTGCCTGTTTGTTGGTGGATGGCTGGTGCCTGTGTATGAGTTCGGGGCTTTCATCAACATTTGACAGCACTTAAAATCTCGTTAGCTGTAAATGGCAGACATGTTTGAACACCCACGCATATACCCCTTACCCAACACCCACAGCAACCAACAACATCGACACATCAGCAATAGCAACGGCACGGGAGCAACATCAGCAAGTTGGCAGAAAACGGGGGAGCTGTCACCTCCCGATTGCGATGCATGTGGCATTAGATGGAATTGTTGCAACGCTTTTATTTGGATTGACAGATACATTTGTAGCTTACTGTTCGAGTGACTCACATGTGATGTTGTTGCTTCTGTTTGTTTGTTTAAAGCGCACCAGCACACACACTCGTCCGAGGGGCTGTTAAATATCACAGTCCCCGAAGCATTAACTTGTCCGTTTATTTACTGAGATGGCTTTATCAAAATTGCCTTATCAGCATCTGTCCCACAGATGTGATTTAATGAAACTAGAAATTATTCAGTTGCTTTAGATTTTATTTGTTTTTGTGTTAATCACACAAAGGGTTATCGTAATCCGGTTTTTTCTAGAGCAGTGAGCTCTCTGTGCCTCTGTGATGCAGCTCATGGAAAGTTTTAGGTCTTTGGCCCTCGAGGATAATTAGACCCTTTGTATTCCTTGACTCTGCCTATCATGACCCTGAAACAACCTGCAATGGAGCGTCTTCTATGAAGGCCTCAACCCAATCATCGTCACATGACACCCAATAAAAACAACATAACAATAATGTGCGAGTAAACAAGGCAACTGAGCCGAATTGATTTGTTTGTGAGGGGCTGTTGGAGGCTCATTATGCACCGGGCCTGGGACCGGCCTGGGACGGGGTCTCAATGCCAGCCACCAATTGGCATACCGCCGGCAAATCGGCCAGGCATATATCATCCATAAGTGCGGACAAGTGTCGCGAAGGTACATTGGCCTCGTCGGGTGAAATCGTCTTGTAATCATCGGAGGTCTCGTCTCGTATCGTCTCGCCTCGTCTGGGCTCGGATTCGTCTTGGATGGCGTCTGCCACCGCAAAGACTTTTTATTTGCTGTTGTGATTTGAGCGAAAATCGAAAGTGTCTGCCGTAGGGCGCCTAGTGCCAGAGCACAGAGTTCAAGTAAGATGCATTATTAGGAAATCTAATAGATGCGGAGAGGGGCGGCAAACTCGTTTCGCGGACAAGGTTAGCCGAGGACAACACTAATTTCCAGATGAATGCAGGTCAAGTTACAGCCATCAAAAAAGACATTACAAAACTATCAAAAAAACAAAACTATAGCCGATGCCTTCGTTAAACCGGTTTATGGGCTTCAGCTGCAGCACGTGGAGGGCAGTCGCCTCTTAAATGGATTTTTGGCACAGCCCGACCGAACGACACACATCTGCATCCCTTTTAGTTCTCAGCTTTCTCAGCTTTGTTTTTGGTTTTCATTCAAGGCACGATTCCTCCAAAAAAACAAAAACCTAAAATAAAAGGGCCCCTCCACGCAACGGAAACCCGAGACGAGAGGCCCAAAAAAAACTTTCACTTTCTTTAGAAATTATTTTTGATAATATAATTTTTACTCTTTCCCCCATTTCGGGTCACTTTATTTCTGTGGAGCCGAACATGAAAACACTTTGATGTGCTAAATGGAGTGCCTCCTTGGGTCCCACACCCAGGTCCCAGGGCTTAAGTCATTTTCGTCCAATCTTGTTGTTGTCGTTGTCTCTTAGTGGGTCTCTATTGTATAATGCTGCAGTAGTCCGTCACGCTGAATGTAATGTTTTAATGAACATTTCTTGTTTTATAATAATTAGGAAAGAGAAGGTATGCTAAGAGACTGTGAAACGAGATGAAAACGAAAGTGAGTTTCTTTTCTTTTTCCGGAACACATTAGCCGATGGAAAACTTGTTCAAAGTGATTCATAGCCTCTGGGATGGTATGGTATGGTATGGGAGCTCCAAGCCCCCAAAATCGATTTGATTTGACAAATGAAAGCCAATCTGAAACACATTTTCATTTTGTTTCGAGAAACTGCTTGTAATTTCAGGCACGTAATAATTAGAAATGTGTGGCACTTTATTGAGAGCAAATGCCTACACGATCTGAGCGATCTTACAATACCATTTCTTGAACTTTAATGCCTTTGGTCGTCGGGCTTAAGGGAGTGCGGCGTGTGTGTCGCCGTCAGCCTCGTCATGTCCAAATAGTGGCCTATATATATTTGGTTAGCGGGGGCTAATTAAACATGCAGCCCCAACCACAAGCCCACCTCGGCCACTGGAATCAGTGAACCACTCATCGCCGCATACCCGACACGCACAGCAAACTGCACGCAAATAGAAACGGAAAATGGGTAGTACTCGTAGAATTCCCAATATGGTTGTAAATATCGAAAGCGTAAAGCTGCGTAATCGGCCAAGAAGTGTTTACACTTGGAGAAATAAAAAGGGGTTTTCAAAAGAGAAATTATGTCTATCATAAAACCATAGATGCTATTTTTTTACTCTGCTATATAGCTTAAAGTCCCACCATAAAACATCCCTCAATGTGACAGCTCTACAATAGTTTAGCATGAAATTCATTGAAGACGAGCACCGCGCATGCGTGACTGAAGCAAAAAGACCCAAGACGCCGAGTGAAATGCGCAAACGTGTTTTTCCTGCCGAAGCTTCTGACGAAATGTGTAACAGTAAAAGACTGGCTACTGGCTACTACCAACTACCTACCATCCACAACTGGTTTGACGGAAATCCATAGCCAAGTTAAATCAAAAACCAAAACATTGATTGCCGCTGACAGTTCGCATATGACGGTTACCTACCTTTTTGACCAAAAACCAAGAAAAAAAACTGCCACAATATTCACAATTTCCGAGTCGAACTTTCGTTCTTGACCCACAACGAACCGCACTGAACCCGCCTTTGTTCTTTGGCGTTTCGTTTTCTTTCTTTCTTTTTTATATTTTTTTCTATATTTTTTTGTTGTACTTTTGCCACTTTTTCTTTCTTACGGTATACACCACTATATCTGTATATATTTTTAGACAAAATATTTTATGCGATAATTCGCATCTCTCTTTCGGTGATTGGCCTCATTTATTGACGATTCATTTGTTTGGCTCACGAATTTCTACAATCGCACAATTGGAGCCGAGCTCGTAGCTCAGTTATCCGTATATATTTCTTTTTGGCATGCACTCGGCGGCCACTTTGGTCGGACTTGTGTGGTTCCGAAGATTTCACCCGCCGTGTCTCCGTGTCAAGAATCGCAGTGTCTCCGCTGAGAGAAATCCAACCGTTCGTCGCGAGTCGCCGCCACCAACTGAAAGGTTTTCCAACCGAATGGTTGAAAAAAGAGCAGCTTTTGAGCCGAGCTTGCTGGCTTGTTTATTAATACAAAAATGCATGTTCTCTCTTTTTTAAAAAAGAGATAGTTTTTTAGAGATCCGACTGCCAGAAGAGATACTCACAAAGAAAGAGAGTGGAAGCTTTCATCCAAAAACAAGTGATACTAATATAATACATTTGGTTTTTAATTAGTTTGATGTTCTACTCGTATCTCACATGAAAACTTGTCGCCCATTGTTTAAAAAAACGGAAGTGCCTAGTATAGATTAAGATAAAACAAATAAGCAATTTAAATATTTTTGGGGAGTGACTCATTAGTATTATAGAAACACATCTTAGTCACTCTAATTTTGTATAAAATTCTTTCTATTTTAAGCACTTTTTAATGAAAACATCGAAGACCTTTTTAGGAGTTTATGACTTAATGACTTTATACTTTAAATGCCATTCTCTAGCATAACTATCTTTGTTGAGACCTGTTTCGCCGATCACTTCCTTGTGATAATAACCAATTTCTATGCCCCTATTGAGTGCTAAATCTAACACCTTGTTGGTTTTCAATGGGCATTCCTTTATTCTCCATATTTACACTTTTGATAAGGTACATAATGTACGTGCTTATATATATTCACATATTTTGATGTCTGATAACCCCCCCACCAACCGTGACACACTGTTTTTTTCGCCATCTAGGGGATTGTCGGATGGGAGGTGGGTGGCCTGGGGAACTATAACCATCAATCAAGTTCTGCTAACCGTTTACTCCCGTATCCGACAAATGCAACCGGGTGATTTATGATCGGTGTGGTCGCCTATCAGGCAGAGGATTCAATTGACGCACTCGAAGTCGAGTCATCGCACTGCTTGTAAATGGTGAACACTTCGTGCTTGAAGCTCAGGATGCGTTTCAGGCTGGCCGGCTCCTGCTGCACCGCTGCACTGGCGGACTTGTGGTCCGAGGCCCGGACTTCGGTGGTGGCTGCCGCATTCCGGGCAAGGTGGCAGCGCCAGGTGAAGGTGGGCGGTCGCAGACCACAACAGCATTGCGACCACTTGCCTTTGTTCATCTCCTCCGTCGGCATGGCGGCGTCTTGAACATTCCCGGGAGAGCAGCCAAGGAAATACCGGATTTTTTGCTTCACCAGCGATGCCGTGCGTATCGTTTGGGTGAGAAACGTGTAAAATATGGGGTTCAGGGCGCAGCTGAAGAGGTTGAGGATGCCAAAGCTGAAGTACAGCAGCCAGTCGATGGGCTCCGAGTAGGATCCGTAGAGTCGCATAATCAGGAAGACCCAGGCGGGCAGTCGTAGGAATATGAAGACGGCCATCATCAGCAGTACCACCACCACCATTTTCCGGTGTCTCGCCTCCCTGGCCAACGAAGCAGCTGTTGTTTTCTTTGCAGGATTGGGGGAAGGAGTGCTGGAGGGCACTGGCATCTTGTCCACGGCAAAGGGCAGGGCCACGCCGATGGCACTGGCCAAGGTCGAGGGCATCAGGAAGTCCGCACTGCCGCCTGCCGACCCGAGGGCCTTGAACTGACCCTGCTGGGGCTCCTGCTGGCGCACCTGCTGCTCCTGGTGGAAGTGCCGCCTCAGCCAGAGCTGCCTGGCAATGATGGCATTCAGCCAAACGAACGCCACTATGCAGGGCATAAAGATCAGGGTAAAGAGTACTACGTAGTATAATCCGACAGCGTGCTGGAACAACACACAGAGAAATATTTATAGAATTGCATAAATTGTTTTCTACACACCCGGCTGATAAGATAAGGAGGACATTGATTCGACAACATGGATTCCCCCATCCCAGGTCCCCGCGCAAATCCCCACTAAATCCCCACCCTGCTGGCAAGTGATAATCCCAGCTGCGGACTTACGTCGCCGGCCAGGCACATGTGCACCAGCTCCAGTTCGGTGACCACAAGTTCCCTGGGCACTTCTTTGGTCTCGTCCTCGTCCTCTGTCTGAGAATCCTCTGCATCCAGCAGTTGGACACGCTGGTAATCGTAGATGCCCAACAGCGGACCCGAGGCGCCAATGGAACAGGCCCAAATCAGCAGCATGGTGACCACACTGAAGCGGTAGTCCGGATTCCAGAAGCCCAACACTGGCCGCATTATGGCCAGGTAGCGATCCAGGGCAATGGCCACGAGGGTCAGGCTTCCAGAGAGCACCGAAGTGGTGGTGGCAAAGGGCACAAACTTGCACATGAAGCCACCAATAGTCTGGAGAATAATTTCAGACGGAAATCATAGAAGACTACATAGTCTTTTTGACCTTCCCACTCACCCAAAGCTGGAGGTACTCCGCATTAAACTGAGCCATGTAGGAGGTTGTACAGAAAACCGTGGAGGAGAGATCACTGCAGGCCAGTGAAATCAGGCAGGATCGGAAGAAGGGTCTCAGTTTCCGGCGGGAGTTGACGTAGAGGGTGCCCAGATTTCCGACAAAGGCCAACACGAAAAGGATTCCCACCACGGCGGAGAAGGCATTGCGCTTGAACCTGTTCAGCTGGCTAAGATCACCGATGAAGATGCCCGGATACGGCTGAATGGTGGGGGCGGGGGTGAACTCCCCGTGCTTGCTGAGGGCCCACTTCAGGTACAACTCAAACTGCTCAAAGGTGTAGTGTAGGAGGGCCATTTCCAGGGTGAGGCCCAAAAGTATGCCGCAGAAAGGTCCGAACTGGAGAGCTTTTGCCAATCGACTGGGGGATAGATTTATGGCCACTGCTACCGGAGGGTACCGCCGGGCTTAATGTTCCATTATCGGAACCGCTTATCGTTCGACGTTCACCGTTAACCGCTCAACTGTCGTCATTATAAGGTTAACTACGCTGTTGGTGTAATCCCCCCATTTTCAGAGCTTTTGGATTTACTTTAGCCATGGTTTTTGACATTTATTCGGCTGGAATAGGTATAGGAATTAGAATCGAAATCTCCCTTGTCAGATAGCACATTCTGGTTTTTCTTTATTGTCCTCTCTTCGGTTGCACAAATTTAGCTTCAAAAAATACAACGCCTTCAACGCACATATACATAGAGTATATATATATATTCGTAATAACTATTATAGAGCTAACTCGTAAGCTTAATGTATAAAAAAAGACTACAAAAACTCTTTGTTTTAATGTTAAAACTTAACAGCAAAAGCCTACGAGAACTAACTTAGGTATAAACAATTATTCGGTAAGCAGCGAGGGTAAACCAATCAAGTATTTTATACAAACTTTAATAGCTAGCTAATTATTACGGAAACTAAGCACTCGAAACTCGAAAATACTTGGAATTTGTCCGGCAAACACAAACACGAATCTCACGCACTCACTCAGACTCACTCGCTCATACACCACATTCTTGCCACTCTTGCCACAAACATCTGAATATGAATATATATATATATATCGGCTTGTATATATATAGTATATATATATATATGTAAATGGAGATAGGTTTATAGTCTTTTAACCAGCATATAGTACTTGTAGGATAGTGTAGTAGTAGTAAGGTAGCTTTACAACGACGGATAGTTTGGATGCGAAAATGCAGCTAAGCTTTTGTTGGGCTTCGACCTGGTTAGTAGAAGGACTCGTGCGAATCGTCCAAGCACTGGCTGGCCATGTGAAGTGTCAGGGCCTGGTAGGGCAGGGGTTTTCCCATCGACAAGTTGGCGGTGACATAAACCAGGTAACTGGCTCCTGGATTTAGATTTAGGATGGTCTCCGTTTCAATGTTGTCAATGCTTTGAGGGCTACAAAATTAAAGATGTTTTATTATAATAAGATCTTTGTAAAAAATATTTAAAGCTAGACCCACCTCTGTTGCCTTTCCCTGCAGGTCATCCACTCAAAGTTCTTGTAGTTCACCATTTGCTTCGGGGAGAAGTCCATGCAATAGTTTGTGGCATCCACCACGCTGCGATTGCGTTGCGGCAGATTAAAGACAATAATGCAGTAGCTATCAAAAGATTTAAGATTCAAGATTAAGATAGTTCTCAGTAGCTTTAATCCTTAGGATTAGTTCTACCTCAGTTCTCGTTCATCTGGGGAACCATTCCAGGCTATGGTGGCCCGATTGCATCTTGTCCTCACATTGAAAACGGTTATGTTTTTGGGAAGTTCCGGCAGAGTCCGGAACAAAGCCTCACTGCTTAGGGCCACCTATTAAATAAAATACATTAAAATATACATTTTTTAACTCAATTTCCCTACTTACCATTACTTTCTGAGCCCTTAACGTCTCATCGTCGTTGCTCGGCTCGAACCTCATCTGATACCGCTGGCCGGGCAGCACTCCGTTTTGTCGAATGTATGTGGGACTGAAAATGGGAATCGATTGCCACACCTCGTTTCGCTGCCTTAGCAATCTGACCCGGATCTCACTCCCAGAACAGGGAATCAACAAGTGCCGCATAACTGGGTGCTCCACAGGCGGGTCCACCTGCGGCACCTTGAAGCTGTAGATCTGCGTTCCATGCTGCCCGCCGATCTTCAGAAGCGCCAGCGCCTGTTGCCGCAAAGCGAGTGGCTGGGTTCGATTGAATCTCACTTGGGTGGTGGCCAGCCGCATGGTCAGATTCTGCCTCTTCTGGTGGACACCGAACAGATCCAATTGGTAACTACTTCGCGGCAACAATCGACGCAGCATTTGTTGGCGCCGCTTCCCCGTGCACACCACATGGAGACTGTGGCGAGGATTCAGGCGACGCTCTCGCTGCGGTGGAGCAGCCCAAACCAAGTCCAAAGGACTCACTCCTGAGCAACTGGGGCTCAATGGCCGCTGATCCACAAAGGCAGCCACTGCCTGGCAGAAGTGGGTGAATGTTAGACGAGGGGTATCAGGAACTATACGCTGGATCACTAGACAGTAGTGCATGGCATGGTAATCGAATTTGCTGAAGAATAAGAAAGATATTCCGATTAGGGATTGAAGAGGGAAAATATGAAAAATATCAATCCGAAATTTAGTTTCAGGCATTTAATGCAAATCGTTTAAGGTATTCCTTTCAAGGATCGGACAAAAATTGTCCAAGATATGGGCATCGCAAGGGGCCAAAACTGGCAATCCTGGAATTCCCGGATTTTTCAAGGGGCACCATCAGGAAAAATTTTGAAAAATATTGATCCGAAATTTTGTTTCAGGCTTTTGATGCAGTTTGGCGGAGAATCAATCTACAAATCGTTTAAGGTATTCCTTTCAAGGATCGGACAAACATTGTCCAAGATATGGACATCGCAATGGCCCAAAACTGGCAATCCTGGAAATCGCGGATTTTTCAAGTAGCATCAGAAAAAATTTTGAAAAATATTGATCCGAAATTTTGTTTTTGTTTCAGACTTTTGATGCAGTTTTGTGGAGAATCAATCTACAAAGCGCTTAAGGTATTCCTTTAAATAAATATTTAAAGGATAAAGATCGGATAAATATTGTCGATTGTATGAGCATCGCAGAAGGTCAAATATAAATTGTTTGGATTTTTCCCACCACTTCCTTCATCAATGAGTACTCACCTCCTGTCCCACTTGACGATCATCTCGCGCTTCCGTACCCGGTTCTGGGTGCGAATGGCGATCCGGTGCGTGGCATTCAGAAGGGGCCAGTTGTGGTGCGGATGCTGGGCCAGGGCGTCCACCTTGAGGGCGCCGCTCTGGCGGGCTTGGACGAAGAGGTCGTACTGGCCGCGCAGGGCGCAGGGCAGCACCAGGGTGTCCCCGGAAACACCTGGACCAGATGCCATTGCCGCCGGCCTCAGAGCGCTGCCTGCAAAGGGAGTCGGGTTTCGGGTTAATGATTCTGACGGTTCCCACCAGGGAGGAGGTGAAACTCACGAGCTGGGACTTACCTGTTTGATTGAAGTACATCTTGCGGACCACGGGCGCCGAGAAGCGAATCGTCAGGGGCGTCGTGTCGTTCAGGTTGAGCACGAATCTGCAAAACGAGATGAAGGCAGGATGAGGATGAGGGACGGAGTAAGTGAGCTGTTAACGCCCTTTGTCAAAAATGATGACACTAAATTATCACACGCAATTTGTTTTGCCGCCTCTCTGGACTGAACCAAATGAGTCAGCGGGTTTCGGCCATACCCTAGATCCCCGAAAGGTTTATTTGATTGTGAGCGGACTATCCCTAATTCCCATATGATTTTCTTATAAAAGAGTAGCTTTTATTCGTTGCAGGACTAACTTTATTTATCAATCTTCTTGATGATGCTTTTGCAACTTTGTTGCAGCCAAAGATTTAGTTCAAGTCCTCCGGGCACTCTTCAGTTGGCTTTCTACTCGTTTCTGAACTTGCTGAGTTTTGTATTGTAATTAAATGTGAAATTTACGAGCAATTTTTCTAATGACAAACTGGTAAGACAAATGAGCTCCCCGATACACCCACACCAGGGCTGGGCAAGCCTGGCAAGGATGCACTGGCAGGACACAACGGGTGTGGCGCGAAAGGATGCCATTGCAGTAAATGACTCATTGACTTGGCTTATGGCCGGCCATCTCGAGTTTTATTTTTATGACCGGCTACTTCCGGCCAACGCCATCCGGACAACGGACAATGGACACCCAGACAGACCACGGACAGAGTACGGACACAGTTTCCCAATCCCCCGCATATAACCAAACCGAACCGAACCGAGAAGTAAATACGCCATATAGTCGTAATTTTGGCTGCTCTGCCAAAAGGTTCCAGGGATAGGATTGGTTCGGATTGATGGAGTGTTTTAATGCATTCGAGACCATTGTTGGTGGCGACTGTGGCGCCGCAGCGACTGTGCAAATATTTGCTTTAATTTAAGCCTTGCATGTTGCAATGGCGATTGTTTGTTGCCACTGCCACACTGTGTTGTTGCCGTTGTCGGCACGATGACAGCAGTCAATTATACAAGCCAAACATCAGCCAAAGACGAAAGTTGAATGCGCTCTAGCCTGGCCAGAGACGAAGTGATTTAATGGATTTCCCCGACAGACCCCCAAAAAAATAATAAGTGTTTGATGGAAATGGCTGCCGGGCATCGAATTACGCCGGAAAGTATATAGATTTATTTAAAGAGCCACTCTGACTGACTGCTCTGGGAAAGCCATGGCACAGATATGCCTTCCGTGATAATTACAGCGCATGAGCCGCATCATGGGCACAATCAGAGTGTCGCCCACCACAGTTAATTCGCAATTGGCCAACCTGATGGACGAACAATGTGCTGCAATTATCCGAGTGCCATCATCCTTGTGCTCCTGTTTTTGGAGCCCGGTCGGGGCATAGTGAATCCCTCGAACGAGACTGCGAATATCGTGATATCCATGCTCCCGGCCAAGGATCTGGGGCCCGAGGTGTGGCAGGCTGGGGTCGACTGCCTGGACAGGTTTGCCCAGATCTTTTTTTACCGAAAGCCTGCAGAGCGCTTCACCCGAGCCTACAACCTCATGACGACCCACGCCTTCAACTTGTCCACTCCAGCGGATGAGATACAGCAGGGATTCGCGAAGCGGATAAACGAAGCTGTCACAGATCCTACTGAGCCTCGGAGGCAGGAGCTTTTCCAGCTCAGAGTGGTCACCGATCACGGTGGCAATGTAAAGAGCAAGAACTTCGGGGAACTGCTCCTGGTGGACAACTACGTGCTCATTGTGGACTCTGTGGAGAGGCTGCTCAGTCTCATGAGTCGCTATGTGAGCCGGATGCGCTCCTGGAATCCAGGTGCTCGAGTCCTGGTGCTGTTTCACAATGCCCAGGTGCACAATCGCCCTTGGACCGTGGCATCCCAGATTTTCAACGAACTGATGCATAGCTTCTACGTGCACCGGGTGGCCCTGCTTTACGCCAACTCCTCCATGGACTACAATCTCCTGGTGAACGACTACTACAATAATGAGAACTGCCGGGTACTGAATGTCCAGAGTGTGGGTCAGTGCCACGACGGAGAGCTGTATCCGAGTCCGACCGCCGTTCATGCCGCCATGTTGGACTATGTGGCGGGATTCAGTCCCAAGAACTGCACTTTCTACGTGTGTGCTTCCGTTTCGGCACCATTTGTGGAAGAGGATTGCGTTGTGGGTCTGGAGATGAGGATTCTGGGATTCATGAAGAATCGATTAGATTTTAAGGTGAGTTCGGGAGCTTGCTCAAGCTTGCGAAAACTAATATCCTTTATTAGGTTAACCAAACCTGCAGCTTGGAATCCCGAGGAGAACTGGATGCCAATGGCGATTGGAACGGATTGCTAAGCAAGGTGATTGACAACGAGTGTGACTTTATAGTAGGGGGATTCTATCCGGACAACGAGGTGGCCGACTTCTTCTGGGGCACCGACACCTACCTGGAGGACGCCCACACCTGGTACATCAAGGAGGCGGAACGGCGACCCGCCTGGCAGGCCATGGTGGGAATCTTCGAGCCCTACACCTGGCTCTGCTTTCTCCTGGTCTTGCTGCTCACCTGGCTCTTTTGGTTCGCTCTGGTCAAGATCCTGCCGGAGCCCAATTACTACCAGCAGTTGAGTCTGACGGGGATCAACGCCTTGGCCGTGACCATCTCAGTGGCCGTCCAGGAGCGTCCAGTTTGCGAGGCCACCAAAGTGTTCTTCATAGCCCTCACCCTCTACAGCCTGAATGTGGTGGCCACCTACACGTCCAAGATGATAGCCACCTTCCAGGACCCCGGCTACCTGCATCAGCTGGACGAACTGACCGAGGTGGTGGCCGAGGGCATACCTTACGGTGGCCACGAGGAGAGCCGTGATTGGTTCGAGAACGACGACGACATGTGGATCTTCAACGGGTACAACACCTCGCCGGAGTTCATTCCTAGAACGGACAACCTAGTGGCCGTGAAGAACGGAGAACGCTGCATCCTGAGCAACAGGATGTACACGATGCAGAGTGCCCTGGGAGACGACATTTACGCCTTTCCCCAGAACGTCTTCTCCAGTCCCCTGCAGATGATCATGAAGGCCGGCTTCCCGTTCATCTTTGAGCTGAACACCATCATCCGAATGATGCGGGATGTGGGAATCTTTCAGAAGATCGACAAGGACTTTCGGTACAACAACACCTACTTGAACAGGATAGCCAAGATGCGGCCAAACTTTGCTGATAATGCCATTGTCCTGACCACGGAGCATCTGAAGGGGCCCTTTTTCATCCTCATAGTGGGGGTCTTTTGTGCGGCACTCACATTTTTCGGCGAGCTAATGATCCGGAATTGGCGCTGCCAGCTGGTCAGCACGAGGAAGGGGCAGAAGCCGAGGGCCCCTAAGCAGCAGGCCAGAAGGAGGAAAGGACGAGCACGAGGACGAGGACGAGGGCAGTTGGGAGAATGGCAGCGACAAGTTCAAGTGACTCCAGTCATACGATTTACGCCAGTCAAACGACGCAAAGTTTTCCAGTGACAAACAAGTCAAAAGTAAACCAACTCTCCGCCCCCGGCTCCCGGCTGCGATAAAAATTGACTCAATTCACATAAATTTGCAATTGAGAGACACTGACTGGCAACCCGCCCGGCATCCTGCACTCCTGCACTCCTGCTCCTGCTCCTCCTTTTTTTTTGTTTTCCCGTCTGGGTCTTGGTCTCGTGTCTTCTGTCGGGTGTCTGTTGTCTGGTCTTTTCTGGTCGCCTCTGTTACTTTTCACGCGAAATACTTAAAATCAGAGACACAATTCTATTTTTGCAACTATCACACAGGCAGCAGCAGGGAGTCGGACAGGGAGCTCCGCAAATTGACAATCAGCTTCAGCTTCAGCTTTTCCCCAACAAACGGCGGCGACAAAACACAGAGATAAAGAACGAGTTAGGATACAGATACTCCCATAAGTGGCACATTCGCTGATTGCAGCTCCGGAGTATCCGTGCAGGAAGTAACTGCCAAGAGCACCAATATCAGATATCCCAAGTTTCGATTCAAAAATATCGCAAATGGAATTGGAACTAGAGAGTTGAAGAAAAGTTTCCCCTAAGATGCTTGAGACTTTCTTTCCAACTTTTGTCATCAGGTTTCCATAAATTTTATTAGCTTTGTGTTGTCTATAAATCTATAATCAAAATCATAAAGAATGCTTTTAAAAATTCAAATAAATCAAGTCGAGGGCATTACTCATTTAATGGGGATTACTCAGTTTGGACTTTGGGAACGCCACCCAACACCAAACACCCATCACCCACTACCCACTACTGGGAGGTTCGAATTTCACTTTGGTGATCCTGCTTTGTCGGCCAAGAGCATAACAATCATTTGATAGCTCTATCATGCCTCAATCAAATGAATCTGTGAGTGATTCACACCCAAGACAGTTCACAGTCAGAGGCACACACGCAATTACTCACACCGAAATGGGCGCACAGCGAGAGCACTTAGTCTGTGTAATTTGAAAATTGCTTTTCCCTTTCTTTGAAATTTGTTTTTCCCATTTTATTTGGTTTTTTGGGAAATTATAGACTATTGAACTATGGCTGAGTATCGCTGAGTAAGAGTCCAAGAGACACCAAATCGAATCGAGCGACGCCCCTCTGTCTGTTCTGTCGATTCCTATTCCGATTCCCATTCCCATTGCCATACCTATTCCTACTATAACCATTCTGATTCCGATTCCAATTTCAGACTCACAATCAGTCTGCCACCGTCTGGCCTGAGTATTTTTGTATTCTGTCAATTGCTAAAAATACTATACCCACTACACTCGTAGGAGATCTTCAGTTCTTCTGGCGGCGCAAAAACGTTGCCGCCAATGATGACGATGACGATGCCGCTGATGTTGATGTTGATGCCTGATGCTGGCTTCTGCTGATGATGATGATGGGGCATTGGTCATTGTGCGAAAATTTGCCCAACGCTGCAAGGTCTACGTAGTTTCAGCCAAAAAAACCAAAAACAAAAACAAAACACGGCGAGGAGAAAAACATACACAAAGAATTATGCTTCGCATTTTATGGCAATTTGTTGTGGCAGTGCCGTTGTTGTGGCTCCTTTGATGCGCTTACAAATAAATAGTTTCACGCCAAGAGCTCTGGAGGAACCAGAGGCGACGAAGGAGGCCGCAGGCGGAGGAGGAGGTGGTGGAGGAGCTGCGGTGTGGGAGGCCGGCCGAGTGGCCGAGTGTCGGGCCAGGCAATAAAAGTTGTTTACATCGCCTGAGCCTGCGGCGCACATAAAAATGCAACGGCAACAACAATCAAACGGCAGCATCAACATATTAACAACATTTTGCCTTCATTCCCCCTTCGAGAAAATTAACTGAATAAAGGGGTATATATTGCAGAAGGATACTATGCTATGAGTCTAAGAAAATAATATGAAATATAATCCTCTACAAGATCTACTTAAAACCCACTTAAATAATTTTAAATAATATTTCCTAAGAAACCCCAATAGGTATCCCCTATTCCAGCATTCTAAAAAAACACCTAATATAATCACCTTTTCTGCCAGTTTTGGGGTTTGTTTTGATTTGAGGCCACTGACTAGATGACTGGATGCCACAGGTGGCAGCTGGGGCGGAAAGTGGCGGCAGAATGGTGTCCAGAATGATCGAGTTGCGAATGGGAATTGCGAAAAGCGAATAGCGAATTGGGAATTGGGAACGGGAGCGCATATTGCGCCGTCGAATTAAGTCGTAAAATTAATATTTATGATTTGTTTGCGCAAAAATATTAACGCTTGCCCCGTCTTGATTGGCGGCCGCCAAGAGAGGCGGAGGGACCATAGGCGGAGGACGATGTGGCGTAAAAGGTGGGGAAAGGATACGCACGGGGCCACTGGGAATTGTGGCTGGATGGACGTTGATGATTCTAGCAAAACGCTTAATGGCTGCACGCGCCATAAACGCGACTTCTGCCTTGCTGTTGCTGCTCGGCCTGGCCATCGTCCACATCCATGGCAGCTACTTCTGGCCCTGGCAACTGGCTCCTTTTCACACGCTCAGCACACCGAGTCACTTGCGTCTTATGTCACGTACTCCGGTTCGGTTTCTCGATCTCCAGAGCCACTGGATCTCGGTGCTGGTACTTTTTTTGTTGAGTAATTAGAACACTGGCCGGGTCGCGCGACTCTAATCTCGATAGGGTGGTATCCAAAAAAAGAGAGAGAACATGATACCCAAAAGCCGAAAAAAAGGAGCTGACGACAAACCACGACATTAATTTCAATGTTTGCCGGCAAATGATCGAGTGTTATACGAGACCTGCTTCAGTCCACCCGTCCCGTCCACCCGGAATGTTCGCACGTTCACTGGAGATGATGGAAACTAAAATCCCGGACCAGAAAAGAGCCTAAGCGAAAACGTGACGGGCCTCTTTTGACCCAGACCCAAGCTGCTTCCCAACGGAAACCAATGAAAATCCTCCCCGAAAAAAATAAAAAAAGAAAAAACAACGTACATTGCTCATACGCCACGTGTAACACAGCCGGAACAGTGGTGTGTGGGGCGGCAAAGTGGCTTAAACGGTCAGTCCCGTTGCTAGGGAACTTTAAAACCAAATGGGTTTCTAGACCATTTGTTGGATTTTATCTGTAACATTAGTCATTGTCAGTTTCAAGATGCATTGAGGGTTTAATTACAAAATTAACAAGAACAATGGGTTCTATTTGGTCATTAAGAGTGGAATTCATTAAAAGTATTTAATTAATTTTGTACTATTTTTGATGGTAGATGCATCTATTTCCCGAGCCTTGGCAGGAAAAAATCAATATTCCTAATGGCTGTCAAATATTTTTTGATGCCACTGTACCAGGAATGGTGGCAGCTGTGCCAGCAACAAAAAACTCACACACTAGACAAGCAAGAAGAGGAGCAGCAGGACGCAGGAGGCAGGACGCAGGACATAGGACAACTGTAAAAAGTCTGGCTCTGGATGGTTTTTTGTTTGGCCAGCCACACGTCGTGGTTATAAATTATTTTTTTTGGCTTTTCTGGCTTTCTTCGAGGCGCCCCCTAAGTTCGGTTTTGGCCATCTTTCGTATTTGTTTGGCCATAATTTGATTTGTGTGGCAGGCGGCGTCGCCAGCGCACTTAGCCGTATTGCCCGCCCGGTACTCACCGTTTCTTCTGTCGCTCCGCCAGGGCAATGTGGACGGGTACATCCACATATAGGTCCTCCACGTCGTCGATGTCCTTCAGCATCTTGCGGTACCGCTGCAGCGAAAGACAGCGCTGCGGTGGCACTGGCGTCGCTGGATCCGCGGGCACATCCACTGGCGGCTGTGGCGGCTGCTGCGACTGCTGTAGCAGCTCGACAGAGTCCAGAAGGATGCGATTCCTGGCCAGCGGTATGTGGGAGATCTCGGCCAACAGCGGCGGAGTGAGGAGCATCAGTAGCAGGAGTTCACATCCGGACAACATGATGGCTTTGGGTTTCAATAATTTTTGTCACTCAGTGTTCAAGTTTTCAGGATTTGTTTTCTTTTGGTAAGTTTTTGGCTAAAATTTTGCCTAAACGGGTAAATTTTAAGCTCAATTAGTTTGGGAGAAGGGCTTTGGAGTCAAGGAGGAAGTTCTAGAAGTGTTCTAAAAAATAAACACTTTCCGCACAATAATTACAATCTATCTTCCCCATCCGTCCGTTCTAATCCCTAAATCCGTAGAATCCGTAGCCTTCAACTCTTCTTAAGGCTCTTTTTTTTCCGTTGGGGTGCCTCGGGCCAAAGCTTCACCCTCCTGCGTCGAGTCCGCCCCCGCCCATAACCATTCTGTCCTCCGCACAATTAAGGCCTGTCAAACCTTTGACACACGTCGCCTGCTACACGCCCCTGCCCCTGCGCGGCAACAACTTCTTTGGCCAAAAAAAAAAAATGTATTTTTTTTCCCAAAAATTTTGCTTTTTTTGTTTTTTCTTTGGGGGGAGGAACTGTTTTGTGCGTCGTCGGCTCGTCTCTTGTGTTTTTGGCTTCTCTCTTCTGTTGTTGGTCTTCTGATTGTTTCGGGGGGCGCCCAATTAATTGGGGGCTGCAGTGAATCGATTCTCGGAACTGTTAGATTTGCTAATTGCGACTGCTCCCTGACCTTTCCCCCCAAATTAATTAAAGTTCCCCGAATTTGCGTGCCCCGAATTTGAGGGTAGTGGGTAGTGGGTGTGGGTGTGGGGGCTGGACTTTGATAAAGGGTTGTAGTTTGCGGCGATTGTGCCACCTGTGGCTGCCACACGAGCAATTAGCCGAGCACTCACACACACGAAAGCACTTTTACTATTGCAGAACAAAACACACACTCTGTTTCATAAATTTTTATTTTGATTTTGATTCGTTTGGCGCACGCATAGTTGGGATTCTTTTAGCGGGCTTTTTAGCGTTTTGGCCGCTTCTGCCGGTTCTGGTTCTCCTCTGCGGCACACGCGACACGTATCCACACGTTTCCCGGGCACGGATCCGGCGACTACGGACGACTACGGTTGGAGTACGGA